GTCCCCATTTGGAGGCAGCTGATCAGTGTTTCTCTCCTTCTCTTTCTCCTTCCCTTCCCTTCTGCTGTCTCTAAAAAATAAATAAGACCTTAAAAAAATATGACCCTCTGTGAGACTGGTCACGTTAATACCCCTTCCACAAGGAGAGGGAGACGTGGTCAGCAGAAAGTAGGAGCAGAACCGACGTTTAGGCCCAGGGAGTGACGGCAGCTGCGCGAGAGGAACTGGTCGCCTTTGATGACAGGCGGGGCAAAGCAATTTTCCTTCCCATGCCACTTTTTTCTCCCGCATCCCCTTTCCGCAAGACAGACTGCTCCTTCGTGGGCTGCCTCTAACTTCAGGAGATGCGCGTGGCTCTTTGCAAAAGAACTCTCCCGGCTGTGGAGACCATAAACACGGAGTTGAAAGCATGTTGTTGAAAGATTAACCCGAGTCCCCACGTTACCGACCTCACGAGAAGTACGTCAACTCCCCGGCCCTGGCGGTTCCCTGTCACAGGTGCCCCACGCGTTTTCACTGCATGGCTGCGGCCCCGGCGTGGGGCGTCCGTGGGTGTGCACCCTGGCGGTTGAACGGGCATCTCCATGGCCTCTTTCTCGGCAGCACAGACGGCGTCATCTGTTCTTTTAAAGATGGACAGAGTTCCCTTTCAGCAGACTTCTCTTCTCCCGCCCCCTGCTCAGGGCTTTGGTCCAGCTGCTCGTCCTGCCTCTCCTCTGCCTCTTCACTGGCCCACCGTGCGCTTTACCTGGAGTTGGGCGGACGATGCCCGCCGCCCAGAGCATATACCCTTCAGACAGAAGGCCCGTCCGAGTCTCTGAAGCTTGTTTTCTGGCTCTGTGAATGCCCCCTGGTGTCATGGTGGCCCTGGACTCGGTGGCCCTACCGAGTCAGCGTGTCTGGGTTTCCGTGCCTGTGACTCACCTGGGCTGCAGAGACACGAAGAGGACGCTCCCGGAAGGGGCGTCTGGAGCCTCAGGCGGGACCAGATGGCAGGCCTGACTCACCTTGACCTCAGGAGTTGCTCTCCCAGCCTCAGGCCAGGCTGATGTCTGTCACCTGTCACAGTACTGATGGAGAGGTAATTGTAGCCGAATGAGGCGCAGCCCCGTGGTGACGGGCCTTCTCTTTCTTCTTCTGTCTTCCTGAGGCCGGCAGGTGACCCGTGCACGACCCGGAACACTCTCATTGCGCAGCCGGGTTGGCTGAGCCGTGGCTGAGGCCCAGGCAGGAGAGCCTGGGCAGCATCGGAGGCCTCCCCTTTGAACCAGTATGGCCTCGGGCTGGGGGTATGTAGGTAATGAGCCTCAGTGTGAATGATTCCCTTTCTTGGGTATCTGGTGTTATTCCAGAGTTATCTCTTTTTATGTCTGATTGCTTTTTATAGCCTCTTTTTAGTTAACTTTTAGGAAAAAAAATATATGGGGGGCATTATAATAGGAAAAAATAGCCCTGGCTGGTGGGGCTCAATGCACTGAGTGCCAGCCTATGAACCAAATACTTGCTGGTTCGATTCCCATTCAGGGCACATGCCTGGGTTGCAGGCCAGGTCCCCAGTAGGGGGTGCATGAGAGGCAACCACACACTGATGTTTCTCTCTCCCTCCCCTAAAAATAAATAAATAAAATATTTTAAAAAGTGAAGAAAAATCCGTAGGCTACAAAAATAGCAGGAAACACCCATTATTCAATTTAGAAATAACATATAGTTCACAGAGTGCCAAAAATCGTTCAGGAGGGCAAAAATTGGTAAGTGTTGAAATAGAAAACAACTTTTTTATAAGTGAAGCTGGCCAAAGTCTCCAGCAAGACCACTGCCTGTAGGGGCACTTCTGCGGCTGCGGCCTCTGTTCTGCTGACCACAACCCTCACGAGTCTGCACGGACAGCTGGGCTCCAGAGTGGGTCTCCTGTTGCAGGGGTTTCTTCCTGCAAGAGGAGGAGCACTTCTGCATTCCCCGTCTCAAGTATGGTAACAGCATCCATTCAGCTTTCAGTCCTGATGAGGCAGAGTTTAGGACTCATCTCTATGACCGTCGCACCCATCGGGGGCCGGTACTGCGTTTAGCCCCCACACGACCCGCAAGTCTGCCAATCTGCTGCATCTCCATACTCACTCTGGTCCAGAGTCTTGCTACCTCTCACCTGGGTTGCTGCAGTAAGCACCTAACCAAGCCGCCTGCAGCTCTCTCTTGCTCCCCTCCCCCGATGCGTGCTACAGCCAAAGCGAGAGATCTTTCCCAAATGCCAAGCTGATCGTGTTCCTACGGCCACCAGGAACTTCCATCACTGGTGGAGAAACACAAAGGTGCTTACCTGATACGCAGAGCCCTGCTACACTCTCCAGCCTCCCTCTTCCTTTTATCTCTGGTTCAGCCAACCTGCCCTTCTCACGTTCCCTCTCTATTTCCTTTCACTCTCTCTTCCCTCATTAAGCATTGTGCCCATTGAGAGCTGAATCCAGGCATCACCGCTCGGGGGGATCCCCTGACCTGCCCTCACTTTACCCAAGTGGCTGGGTCAGGCCGCAGCTCTGTCACAGACCTGCACACCCCATGTCCCTCACAGCACTCAGACAAAAGGAGAGATTTACGATCGTGTGCAGCAGGAACTGGGTGTCAAGTGCGGACAAAAAAAGCAAGCACATATTTATTTAGTAATCAACCCCTTAGGTTCAAGCCAGCCTTTCTAGATCACAGAGAAAAGTATACGTAAAAATATTATACAACGGGTTCTCAAAAGAGCCAGGAGTTTTTCAGTAAATAAAATCAGCTATTCTTCTGCCACAGACAACCTGGGTTGTGTGGGTTGTGGCTGAGCATGTAATTTAAGACCTGGAAGGATCTTGACAATTGTTCCAAACAACCCCCTCCAAGCACAGATGCTCAAGTGAGCCCCCGAGGTGTCCTAAACGCCAGTGACAGAGCATGAACCAGAACCGGCCAGCAAGTATCCCTGGGCTCTATGACGTGTTCTGGTTCACTATTTCTAGGTTCTGCTTTCATCACTGCATACATACTGTCACTGCTTAAGACATTTATAGAAACAGAGCAATTAAAATTTGTTCTAATTTGGCAGAATAGCTCGAGGCTACTCTCTACCTTGAGAGGATGGTCCTGCTCCATAAAATGGCGCGGTAGCCCTCAGGCAGCAGGGGCGAGCTATCGCAGGGACGTGGTAGTGATAGTGCCTTGGGCCCAGCTGTTCACACTTCCTCTTTACACCTGCCTTTCTAGACCAGTCTTAAAAAGGATCTGAGGGAAGAGAGCCCCCCTTCTTGCTTTATTATTATTATTTTTCTATTCATACCTGAGGACATTTTTCCCCATTGCTTTCAGAGAGAGAGAGAGAGAGAGAGAGAGAATACCAGTGTGAGAGAGCAACATCGATTGGTTGCCTTCTTGTATGCACCCAGAGTGCTCGGGGCTGGAACTCGCAGCCTGGAGATGTGCCCTGACTGGGAATTGAACCTGTGACCCTTGGGTCTATGGGGATGACACTCCAACCAGCTAAGCCACACCAGCCAGGGCTTCTTGTTTTAATGTAGGACTTAAAGAAAAGTGAGTGTCACGCTCGCTCACCGCTCCTTCTGAGCAAACTCGATAACCTTCTCGACCTGCAGCCGTAACCCTCAGCCTCCACACCGACCTCCCATTGCGGCCCCTGGCTCCCTGTTCCGGGAGCACTGGCACCGCACAACACTGACTCATAAACACTGGCGCTTAAGGAGACATCGAAACCTTTTAGTCCGACAGCCTGGCCCAGGCAGGGAGCACCTCAAACAGAGGCAGATGGAGTCTGCACTTCCCAGTGACTGAGTCCTCACCACCGCACTTACGGGAACACTCTTTCCAGTAACAGGAATGTTGTCTTCAAGAACTCTGCTTGTTCTTTGTCAACAAATACATGATGATTCTAACTAAACCAGCCCGCTGACCCTACAACTTTGCACATTATGTGTGTGCTGTGCATGCGTTTAAAACTCAAAGCGTAGGACGTGTGCCGTTCAGATTAGAACAAAAACACAACATTTAGATCCTCTAGTTCATTTTCTATTCTTGTTAAGTCATAGAATAGAAAAAAGATGAGAAAATTATTGCTTTCAATTTCATCTTTAAAACCAACGTCGTTGAGTACGAGCGCATGTGTGGCCCCAACACCACGGGCAGCCCCGTGTTTCATGTATGTGGGGTCACATACTTCGTCGCAGGGGTGAGCTAGAGTCAGCCGGCTGGTGTCCCTGTCTCTTCCCTTCCAGACGCTCTTGCTTTGGTGGTCAGATTGCACGTGCCCGCAAGGTGCGCAAGCCGTGGCTCCACTGCCCATTCTGGAAAAGTCAGAAAGAGAGTAACTTCTTTTGTTCTGTTCATAATACAAATTCTTTAATAAAGGGAAGACAGACAGAAAGGTTTGCTGATCAAGTAACTTTTTGGTCTTGACTTGCCAGGCATGTTTCGCTGTCAAGAAGTCAGTTTGCTCTTGAGTGACCTCGAGTGCAGCGGCGCGTGACAATGTGGCGGTATTCGCAGAAGACAAGTGTCGGCCCCGCGTGCCAGTGCGTTAGGCTGCAGCGGAAGGAGGCCCATGTGTCCGCACTTAGGGTGCACTTAGGGAGCTGGGTTTTCTGTTGCTCCCCTCTGATCTGGGGGTGTGCCTGGCTGTAAAGGGCTGTACACATGACATCTGTCGTCGCCGGTCTTGGTCCGGGTGGCATGAAGAGCGTGCCCGGGGAGTCATCTGTGGTTCCAAGGGCCCACCTTGAGCCTGCCTGGGTCGTGTCTGAGTGGCCAGCTCGCTGTGGCCCCTGAGGAGGCTGGCCTCAAGGACGCAGAAGCCTCCTAATCAGGGGCACGCTCACTCTGAGGTGACCCACGTGGGACCTCAGATTCTGCCAGGACGGAGCCCCGGGTGGTCCTGTACCCCACGGCGTCTGCTTGAGTCCTGCAGATAACTGACACTCCTGCACCGGCCTCCTTGGCTGAGACTCGATGTCTTCTCCTAGGTGACCGAGCGCGGACCCAGAGACGCTGCCTCCTCGGGGGCCATGGAGGACCGTCGGGGGGCCGCGGCCACGCTCCTGGAGGACTGCCGGCGCCTGCTGGCCGGGCTGCCCGAGGCGCCCGCGCCGGACGCAAGCGAGGACGTGCTGAGCGGAGGTGAGGCTCTCACTGCCCAGCTTCCCCTCCGGGCAGGTGACCCCGCGGAGGGCCGATGGGGCCCGAATGGGATGGGGCTGCGGGCGGGAGGAGGCCCACTTTGTCGCCCTGAATTGCTGTCAGTTCTCATTTTAGGCTTCAGTAAACAGGAGGCTACAAGAAACAGTTTAGTTCAAGAAGAACAAAGGCTCTGAGTGGGCCGGTGCCATAAATTTCAATGACTAAAAAATCGGAGCAACTTCTCAGTGGTGGCACATGGTTTGTTCAGACTGGGCCTCTGCACCTCGTCAGTCCCCATGGACGTCCCTGGTCTCCACAGGCCTGTCCCCCCACGGCCCTGTCTCTCTGTCTCTTGGATCGTCACCGCGTTTCTCAGTTACATTCACGCGCCGCCTGTGAAATGACGGCACGCGGACCGACAAATCCACCTTGCACTGTGATCAGGGCAGAAGAACGTGGGTTTTCGCTCATTCCGTAGTCTGTGCGCCAGTTGTAGATGAGGCCTTGTGCAGGAAGGTTCCGTCCAGTCCCCCATTTCCATCCGCGCCCCTCGTGTGTGCGTTTCCTGTTTCTCGGTGTGTTTGCAGTGGCCTGGGCCCCTCGCAGGAGCAGGGTCCCCACACAGCACGCTCACACCCGCGTCGTCTGTCGCTGGCGACGGTGTAACCGAGGCTCCGGGGCTTCTCCCCACGGGCTTGCCGGCGCGCACACAGCCCCCGGGGCGCACAGCGTGAGCATGCTGGGGAGCCGCTCGGCACAGGCCGGCACCCGGCCCCCTGTCTTAGGAAAATGTCTTAGCAACGTGGAAGCTGGGCAGGGAGACAGACAGGAATCGCTGGAATGAGAGGGAAATGGATTTCAGAGTCCACAGAAGCAATGCCCAGTTAGATTCGGACAGGACGAGAGACCCAACGGTCCGGACGGAGTCCTGGTGTCAGACTTGGGCACCTCGGTGAAGGACACGGTGGGGGTCCGTTGCGGCAGCGAGTAAGCGGGCACACGGGGTGGAGGAGACGCAGAGCCCGTCCCAGGGGTGTGGAGCCCGCGTGTCCGCAGGACGGGCACCTGGAGGTGCCTGGCTGGAGTCCCGGGAGGGGGCCTCGGGCGCACGCCCCAGGGCTCGGGGTGTTTGGGCAGCCGGGGCGTGCTGCTCCCTGCGGCCTCGGGGACGTCCGCACCCCAGCAGGGCCTGGGCAGCACCCAGAGCCAGTTGGAACATTTTTGCAGCAAAACCTTTGACTAAGCTCCCTCGGTAGGATAAACACACTTGCAAACAGCCCCCAGTCACTTCACGTCACTTTGGGTGTCACGCTTAAGGAAAACCTTCAAGCTTCCAGAGATTTGGGGGTCCACAAAGTCTGCACAGGGGATCGTGGACTCGTGTAACGAGTTAGGTTGGGTGGCCCTGAAGGAATTAGACATGTCTGCAACTGTGGAGGAAGGCATTCAAGTTCCATCTGGGCGTTTTGTGAGCGCGTTCTGCGTTCGGACGTCGTCCACAGCGGAAGTGTGGGGAGATGAGGCCTGGAGAACAAAGAGTCTGCATCCCCAGCTGCCGCGGGCCCCAGCTGCCACTCTGGCTCAGCCCCTTTCTCACTTTACAGGGAAAATAGCATCTCCTGCATTCCTGTCTCTGATTCTTCATGCAGAGACGGTCGCCGAAGTGCTTCACTTCCTGCTCAAAACACTTCTTCATGCCTCGCTGCCCCCATTGACCTGCGGGGCCGCCGGGACAGGTAGCTGCTCGCCCTTGTCCGGGCGCCTGAGCCGCAGCGCAGACCAGCGGGCAGGGCGCGGGGCGTGTTTCCGCCGCCACGAGGTGCTTCGGCCCGTCACAACACGGGGAGCCCCCGGCCTTTTCTCTGAGGGCCATTTCCTCACCTGAACTCTGACCTTTCCAGCTCCCCTCCCCAGCGAGCTGAGGACCCTCATCCAGGAGGCCAAGGACATGAAGTGGCCCTTCGTGCCTGAGAGGTGGCAGTACAAACAAGCCGTGGGCCCGGAGGACAAAGTCAACCTGCAGGACGTGATTGGCGCCAGGCTGCAGCCGCTACTGGTAGGCGACCCACGCCACCTGTCCCTCTGACCCCCACCCCGCCCCCCGCACCGCCGGCCAAGCATTGAGACGTAGGTGGTGCAATAGATTGAGTTTCCCTGAGGTGCGCCCGTGGTCACCCCTGCCAGACTGACTAATGGGGGAAACGGCTTTCAGACAAGCGTCTCGAGCCCTCGGGGACCCGCCGTCGGGAAACCAGATTGAGTGAAAGGGGGGGTGCTCAGCGGGTGGGAGCAGCAACCCGTCTCCTGGAACACGTACCGGCCGGGTGGGCCTGAGCAGTGGTTTGGCTGTGCCGCGCCGACCGGCACTTTTGGTTTGAAACACTACTTTCTACCAGTTGGGTAGCTTAAGTACGGGGTGGTGCAAAAGCAGGTTTACAGTTGTTCATGTGGAAAATAATGTGATAACAAAACAAGAGTAAGCTCTGTGTTCACGTACGCACAAGTGTAAACTGCCTCCCCGACCCTGTAAGTAAGTTCTCTGCCCTTTCGGCCCGAGCCACTGAAGCCTGGCAGCGTCCTGTGCCCTCGCCGCCTCCGCCACGTCAGAGCCGCTGACATGCCCCTTCCAGAGCCCCACGCGGCCCCCCAGCAAGGCCAGAGCCTCGGAGCGGAGCCCAAGCCGGGTCTGGGCCCCAGTTCCTGCTCAGGTTCTGAGGCCGCCTCGGCAGCACTGGCTGCCTTTCTGGAAACACCCTTCCTCATCCACCTTGTCTCAGACGCTGCCAAGGAAGAGAGTGTATGAGCTTATATGCACTTTTTTCTCACATAAAAATGTTTGTCTGCAGACCAGGAATTACAAACAATGACGATAAACTTCTTATTTTATGGGTTTACGTGGGAATGTGTTTGGGGTCATACCCAAATAAGTGTGCAGACACCGTCTTCACCTTCTGAACAAAATCCAAGACAGATCCGGTCGATGTGCACATCACAGCATCTTTGTGGAACTGGCAGGAGCAGTGGAACCCCCCTCCCCCAGCCCCTCCCTGCCACACAGCCCGGCTGGGCTGAGCAGGGGGGCTGCAGCGAAGCAAAGCGGACGGCGGGGCCGAGTGCGAGGCTGAGCCCGGCTTTGAGCGAGTGCTCGTGCTGGCGGCCCCGAGGAGTGCAGCGGTAACTGTCACGCATGTGTCACCGCGAAGTCTCCAAAGCACTTGCACAAGCGTCGTCTCACTGAATTCCCAAAGCAATCACTCTCCAGCGATTGTCACCTCCACGCTCCCACTTGACCGCCAAGAACATGGCGTGCGGTGCAGGGAGCTGGCCTGGCCCAGGGGACAGGCCAGTGAGTGGCAGTGGGGGTGGGCAGGGGGGACTCCAGTTGTCCCCGGAGGGGCCCAGGTGCAGAGCTCGGGGCAGCTCACCCTGAAGGGAGCCTCGTCTGGGGGGACACCGGCAGCAACGGAAGTGGCCCCACCTGCTGCCCCACGCGCCAGCCCCAGGCGCACAGGGCTCGTAAGCACTTGAGATGTGTCCAGTAAGAATGAAGAGTGCATTGTTTAAAGTTTTATTTAATAGTATTTTAATTTCCACATAAATAGCCTCATGTGGCTAAGGCCACTATGCCACCGGGCAGCATAGCGCAGACACAGAAACACTGGGCAGGAGACCTCCCCCAGCAGGCGTGGGGTCACCTGGAGACCCGAGGCCACCCACTCCTGGGCCCGTCCGTCACCAAGTCAAAGAAGGCTCTGGTGTGCGGGTCTGTCCACCAGCCCCAGGCAAGCCCTCAGGTGACCGCGATGCTAGCATTTGGGACCCACTGTCCTGAGAGAACAGTGGGGTGGTGGTGAAGGGTGGGGGGGACAGGCAGGAGCCCCAGAGAGGCCAGGGTGAGGCAGCGGGTAGAATAGAAACCTCTTTCCTGTTGCTTCTGGGGAAAGTCCTGCATGATCGCGCTGGGTGGTGGCTCGTGAGCACTTGACGAGGCTTCCACAAGGCGAGCGCAGAATCCGTGCTTTGGCCTTGGTGCCTAGAAAGTTCTGAATTTCACATGTGTCCTCAGAGACGAGGGGCCACACCACGTCACCCTGCGTTCCTCCGTGCGTCTGCCCTGCGTTCAGAGCCGGTGCCGACACCAGCTGAAAGACTAAAGGGGGTTTTCAGCAGCTTGCGGTCCTGCTGCATTTGGGGAGGGAGGGCAGTGTGAGCAGGAAGACAAGCTGCCCTCAGCTGTGGGGCCCTTGTGAGAATCGGCTCATTATTCCTCCTGCTTTCCCTCCTGTTCCTGCCCGTGGGGGAAACGGAGGCAGGTGGATGGTAAGAAGTGTGTGTGCAGCTGCTCACGTCGGCGCACTGGGTTCTTTGGCCTCTACTGGGTCTACTGGATTCCCCGGGAGCGATCTCCTCCTGGGCCCACCCAGGAGCGATAAGTCACGCAGCCACACCAGTGAAACCGAACCGACGCACCGTGGCGGGGCCGTGTGCTCTGCAGAGGCCGGGGGTCGCCACGCCTGTGGACAGCACGCCTGTGGACGCAGCACCGCCCTGCTCTGGTTTGTTGAAAGGATGGAGGAGATCCCACAGTTTGCAGGTCTCCCCGTTGTACCAGCTTCAATAGTAGACTTTCCTGAGGCTGATGGGCCAACCTTTAATGATCAGTTAAGGGAACATTCTGTTCTCACAAAGAAATCCTTGAAGGCTGCCGAGTCCATCTGTTAAGTTATCTCTTCTTACGGTTTTTCCCCATACATCTAAGGTTTCTACCTTTTTTTCCTTACATGAATCCTTCCCATAAAATGCTTTCCCTCCTTTTTAAAATTATCATTATACATAGAGTGTAAACATGGTGGGTTTGAGTTAGTTTCACAGACAGAAGATTGAATGGAATGTGTAAGATTCGGGGCGAGTGGTTGACAGCTTAGTGCCTGAGTGGCTGACGTGTGGGCCCTTCACATGTTACGCTCTTAGGCTGAACTTAATCGAGACAGATGTGTGTGTGTTTTGTGCCATGCATCCTGCCCTCCCCGCTGCCCTGTCCCCGTCCCACCCTCCCTGCCCTGCTCCGGTGAGTGACCACAGGCCATTCATGTCGGAGCTGCCCTCCCTCGCGGCCACACAGAGCTGGCTAACTCAAGAGAGTCAGGCCCTCTCTCCCCGAAAACACCTGCGGACACCCCAGAAACCTGGGAGATGGGAGACTAATGAGGCTGGAAAAGCCGGGCAGGGTTTCTGGCATTGTGTCCTCTCCCCAGGTAGGTGGGTCCTTTCCGGGATGATACCAGTTATTTATTGCAGAAACATCTGTTGATAACTGCAGCTGCCCTTGGGGGACAAAGCACATCCCGGGTCACAGGCTGTGGGGACCTCACTCCGGCTCTCACTAGTTTCCGACCATTCAGGGACGCCCTGCCGCCCAGGGTTACCGTCCTCCGACGGTCTCCTCAGCCATAGAAATGCCCCGCAGCTTTGAAGTGTGATTTCATCTCCATCGCTGATTTATATCCCAGGCCATTGTGCGCTGGGAAAGAGGGGGAGCTTTTTGTTTTCTGCTTAATTGTATATTGCCTGACACTTTGACCTGTATTATTAGTATCAGTAAGAAAAAGGATTTTCTCCTTCTCTTATTTAAAAATAAAATTTCAAGGGAAAGTAAGCTCTCCTTCAGCTCTTTTCACTCAAAACAATGTTTACACTCTGAGAGGGAGAGATGAAAAGCACGAGCAATTTTTTCAAGTGCTGGGGAAGGCGTTTCAGTTTCTGAAAGAGAACAGTGAGGCTCTTATAAATATCATTTGGGGAAACCTTTGATGGATTTTTCGAAAGTACTGAAGGCATTTAGCTTCTGTGGCAGGCGGGCGCTGCTCCAGCCCGGAGCCTGCCTGGCTGTGAGGGCCCAGGGGCCCGGCCGGCCTCGGCGTGGGTGCCACCTTTGTTTCAAGGACGTTCACTCTTCTGAGAAGAACAGTATCTGCACGATGAGTAGGGGATATGAAAACACAGCTCTCGAAGGCGGATACAGGGCGTGCCCGCCTTGGCGGTTGGGCCTGAGGTGCCAGGCAGGGAGGATGGTGCGACTGATACCTGGTTCCCTCCCCCCTGGGAATCGGCAGCAGTGTTCCTGCCCGGGGGCCAGAGGGCCGTGTCTATGACTCACTGGCTGGAGTGCCATCTGAGGAGAGGCAGCGGGCTCAGAAGGAGGGTCTGTTTTCCTTTTTTTTTTTTTGGCTTTGCAACTGTGATCGTGGGTCATCGACAGCCTTCACGCCACAGACGTTTGGGGCGTGTCTCTGCCGCCTCACAGCCTTTCACGGGAGACCAAGAACATAAGTGCCAAGCTGATCTCTTATGCTATCTCGGGTGAAAAAAATCTGTGGATAAGTCACGTTTGGTCAATTCAGCTTCCAGAACAATTTTTTCTTAAACTTGGTGCTTTAAGTTGTTGGTATTTTAATTGTTGAACAACTTAAACTATGAAAGGGTCAAGAGCTAAAAAATAAATACATGGGAACACATATAAGGGTTGAGTGTTACAAGATGGCAGAGAAATGTTTTAAAAACCTCTAGTGTGACTTTAGGAAATGGTAAGTGAAGTGTGGATTCATGAGGAAGCTGAAAGGCGACTCAGGTGTGCTGGCTGGGTAGGGCAGGGGAGGCTCTCGGGGGAGCGACGGAGGTCCCTCCGCGGATAAGCTCTCGGTTGACTCACGCTCTGAAAGCGCGCTGAGAACCGCTCACTGCAGGACCGGTTTTCCTGTCAATCACAGGAGGACGGGGCCGCAGAGCTCAGTGTCGTTTGGACTATGACTCTTTCAGCAACTAATTTTCTCAAAGGAAGTTTTCACCTTCAGCTCTGTGCTCTGGGGTTTTGCCAGCTCAGCTCTCTTTCATCATTCTCTTTGCAAAGAGCAAAGAGAATGCAAACCGCACATTCATTCCTTTGTTCCGCAAAGCGTTACTGTTGGCGTGGGCAGCAGATACTTCACTTCAAGCTCTGGCACAAACACGAGAGAAGCAGAAGCCCCAGCCCACGTCCCCGCCACCGGGGTGGAGAGA